CCTTCCTTCCTTCCATTTTTGTAGCATTCTGTTACAAACTTTGCTACAACGCACAGCTCAATTTTCCACACCTGCATCCCCACTAACATTAGTTTTCTGAAGTGTGAAACAGGACTTCCTGGTGGCATCCTCACATTTTACATAACTGTTGATAAAGCCACTGCTGACACTGGGAATGTCACTGTAAAATTCTGATACTTTTTGGAGGAAAGGAAAAGTGTTATCCAATTATTTGTTCAAAATATAGCACCGGCAAGTAACTGAGAAGGAAGTATCAACCTGTCAGCTCTTCAGAATTCATGACCTTCCAGGCAACTTCCTGCTCAAAGCCTTTAAACAATTTAAAAACTAAAAATTATTGAATTTGCTCATTTAGGAGACAAGAAGAAAATATCTATTCAGACAAAAAAGAGGAGATATGATTTAAATTGGTTGCCTTCACAGTGTGAATTCAGGACACAGTTGAAGAGCTCAGTTTGCATGGGGTCGTTCTCAAATTATTGTGCTCTGGAGGAATTATTTGGCAAGCATATCTGTAACCACTGTAGACAGTTGCAGTTTTCTAAATACTTCAGGACAAAAAATTGCTTCAGGTTGCATTTCTCTGATCACTGAGGGGAGCTGATGCATCTTTGGCCTGGTTTATTCATCATTTACATCCCTACAGTCAGTTGCACACCCTCTATTTATTTTTAAAGTTCTATATAGTTAATTTTAAATCCTCTATTTTGCCAGTGAAAATAGTTTATGTCTGATATTGGTTGTAAAAACATAATTTTACTCTAAATTAGCTAACCCGGGAAAAAGAGGAAATCCTTTACACAAAATTGTAACTTTGAACAGAGAAAAAATTGAGATCACTCTTTATATAATTCTATCTCTCTCTCTCTCTCTCTCTCTCTCTCTCTCTCTCTCTATATATATATATATATATATATATATATATATATATATATATATATATATAATGATTGTGATGCAATGCAGGTGGATCATGGGTTACTGTATGTTTCCTTTTTTGTCATGGAAAAATGTAAACTGTATAAGCAATTGGAATTATAGGATCGTTAATCGTGTAGAGACATATTTGTCCTGGAGTTTTTATAATCCTTTTACTTCTCAGAATTCATGGCATCACTTTCTCTTAAATACTCAGTCAAATGCTGAACATGCTGGGTCAACATTATAGGTATTTCTACAGTGCAGCCACTGATGTAAATTCCTGTATATGGTTTTACCACAACCACTTAGAACATTTATAATATAATTTCCTAAATCTTAGGCTTATTGACTGATTCTACATAGCAAATACTACATAAGTGAATGAGAGTATATTGGCATTGTTGTATCCTGACTTAAGCAAGCACATGTATCCATGTCCTCTAACACCTAGCAAAGTTCTAGATATGACTGTAAATTCCTACACTAAATATTAGCCACAGAAGATTAGTACTTTCTGTCTAGCAAATATTGAATATGAAGATTTATTGCTTTATGTTTCAAAATGTCTTCTGTACTTCAGAATATGTCTAATTTATGTGCATACATATTTTACATATACATTTTATTAAAAATAAAATATTACATATATTTAAAATGCTGGTGAGCAAAACTTTTAAAAAATCATTAAACTACTTAGATATAAAGATAATAAATATTTATTGAATTCTTATTATATGCCATGTATTATTTTAAGATGTTTACATATATTGGGTTGTCAGAAAAGTCGTGACACATTTTTGCAACGAAAAACATAGAAAAAAATACGTCATGACTTTTCCGACAACCCAATATATTAACTTATTTAATCTTCATAACAGCCTTATGAGATAGGTAATATTATTATCTCCTTTTTACAAATAGGTTTAATAAGATGCCCACAGATGTACAGCTAGTGAGTGTTAGAGTCAGATTTCCAAGATAGGAAATTTGCCTCAGAAGCCAGAGATTTTCATCGCTATATTATAGTGACCCTTTATATCCAGGATTCCATTACTTTGAAATAATTAGTTTTAATAATACTATGTAAATTATTAACTTCTAGTCTTCATTTTCTGTTTATATGATAAAATAAGTATGCATTATCTCAAAGTTTTTTACATAATTAATGATTTATGATTCCAACATTGCATTTTACCAAATAACTTTGTGTAATATAATTTTAACATGTGTAGTTTTGGCTGTATGTTACCATATTTTTGAACATGTGCTCAGACTACTGCTTTTTCCCTATATTTGTTTTAACATTCTTAGTGGTAATATAGAATGAATGAGTAGACAGATGGCGATCCCCAAAAGAGTTTACATTGCTCATCCCTTCTTATACTTAGGTGTAGCCAATGGGTTGTAATCAGAAAAGGTCCTTTGGTTCCTTCCATAAACCTTCTTTAAAAATGAAAGGCCTTATCTATTCTTATTTGTATGTTCCTCCTTTCCACCACATGGGATGCATAGAATATGGCTGGAGCTGGGTCAGCCATCTTGGACTGTGAGGTTAGCCTGAGAGGGGAGTTAGCACAGGGATAAGCAACGCAATGGAAGTAGCCTGAGTCCCTGAGGACTTTGCAGACCCAAGTCTCCATCACAGACCTGAATTTCATTTTTTTGAGTGGTTTATGTGAGATAGCAATCAACTTTGATTTTGGTTAAAACATTGATATTGTGAATACCTGCTACAATCAAACTGGGCTAAAAAGTCACTCCATACTTATCCAACTTTCTACACAAATAGAGATGGCTACTCTGCTAAATCAAAACTGAGTAGTATTGGCCATATGGTTTTAGCTGGGGAATTTTCATTAACTGTTCTTAAAATGAGAGCTATTCTTCTCCATGGCGTAAATATGATCACTGTGAGTCAATGTGCTCCGAAATTCAGAATGGTAGGGGTGGGAGCGAACTAGAAAGATAGAGTTTTTTTACTTGGATAAAATTGGTTGTAGATCAGCTTATAACTTAGTAACTGTTAACACAGGAGCTCAGTTTTCTCATCAGTAAAAACTGAAATGACCATATTTAATTTGTAGGTTTGCAGAGTATTAAATAGGATTGTGTGTACAAAGCAGCTAGCATATAATGAAAACTAGAGTAGGAATGTCTTGGTTCAATTAAAACAAACATTAATTAGCTGTTTTATTTGTGTTAATTCTATGAACTAGTTGGTAGTTAGTGATCATCAACAGAAAACAGAAGGAGTGGCATACTCTCTTTAATCAGTTTACTGTAAAATATTGAGTTGTCGGAAAAGTCCTGACACATTTTTGCAATGAAAAACATAGGAAAAATATGTCATGATTTTTCCGACAACTCAATAGTTTTCATAGTACAAATATGAAACTCTTGTTTACTTCCATTACATTTGAAAATATTACTAGCAGAAAAATAAATTCAAAAGAAAAGGATATGCTAAATGCATCTAGATGTAGAGAAAAGTAATAATTATACTCAAAAAGTATCTTGCTGAGGAATATCCTTATCAGTATATTAAAACATGGTAGAGCATGCTTCCATTAACCCCCAAAACCAAAAACTAAAAATATAGACTTTTTTTTTACCCCATAAAATTTTGTTGCTTAGATTAATTTTATTTCAGAAATGTA